CAGAGAGGTAGGACCACCGCAGGAGGAAGGGTAAGGTTTTAGCTCTGAGCTCTGACCTCTTGGCTTTCTCTTTTACATTGGTTCTGTGTTTCTTATTTAATAAGACAGTTGGTTACATCTACAGACCTTTCACTCTCTTGATGTCCAAGCCATACCTCAAGCTCATTAAGTCAGACGTTCTAGGGGACTGAAGAATGCAGGGGATCTAGGATCCAGATCTAGGTCTTGGTGACTTTTAAAGAAGGTGGTACAATCTCAGGTGTTGGCGGCAGCGTGGCTCAAATGAACAGTGCTAGCTGGTGAAGGGTTGGGGTGCAGGTGGGGGTGAAGTAAATAGGTTGGGGGTGTGCTGCAGTGTCCCACAGAAGAGTGATATAGTGGAGTTGGTCCCGAGTCTCTTTAGGATTCCCAGAGAACCCCTAGAACACTTGGCTGCAAGAGGAAGCAGCAGGAAGTTACTGGACAGGTGAATTCGCTCAGCTTGCTGGAAGAAGGCACCCCGCATTGACTGTTGTGACAGATCCACCTTTTCTGAAGATGGGGATGAGCTTGGAAACGGAAGCTGGGGTGGCATCTGCAGTCTTAGTACTTTTGCCATTTTCAAAGAAATACTTGACCAGGGAGCTCATCTTTTCTGCATCTAACTCAGTCTCCAATACCAAATTCTACTTACTTTGAAGGCCTGGCAGTGGAAAAGTTCAAACTCCACAGCCTCTGGAAGCACGGTGATGAATTCACCTGGAACCCGTGCTCTATACAGGGAAGTCAGTTTCAGAACCATCATCTTGGATAAGGGCATCTTATAAAATGCATGCATTTCCAATGTCCTCGTGAGATACACAAAACAGAAAGTCTGAATGCTTTCTGGGAGGGGAGGGAAGGTGGGGTATGGGGAGGGAAGAAGAGTTGGGGGAAGGGAGAGAGAGAGGAGAGGAAACAACTAGACACTTCAGAAGGTCATTTCTTTTTTGAATTAGGGCAGATAAAAAAGGAAGCATCTAAATCTGATGTTCAAACAACCTTTCCAGTTTGATCTTGTCTTTGCTTTTAAAAAACTACATTTATAAGTGCCCTAGATCTGTGAGCCGTGGACACTCCGTTCCTCCCTTTGCTTCTACTGGGCTTGAAAGACAGGTGAACTTTTCTTCCATCTGTCCAGGCTGCATCCAGAATTTTCTATGGGTGCTCCTTTCCAAATTAATTTTTTGTTGTTGTTAATTTTGTCCTTTCACCTTTCATTTGGGATCCCAATCCTGCAACAACAGAGCACACATCTGGAAGGTTAAGGACTTCTGGATCTGGTGTAAAAGGGAAGAACACTCAACTCATGTCTGGCCAGAGTGTGCTTATTATTAAGGAATGATCACTTTCATGGTCACTGTAGGATGAGGAGTGTGCATTTTCCTCTGCAAATCACAAGGTAAATACAAATTTCCAAACACATAACGTGTATAGTTTTAAACACGTGAATTGAAATCTTCATGGTACAGTGTCTCTCAAACCTGGGTGTGAGCATCCCCAGGGCCACTTCTTACACAGTTGGTTGCGTTGGTTCTATCATTTGGGAATTCCAGGGAGGGCTGAAGATCTGCCTTTCTTGACCAGCTTTCAGGTGACACTGATGCCGTTGGTCCAGGGCAACTGCTCTGAGGTCCACTGCCTTGCAATCTGCTGTGTATCTTCATCTATTGGTCTCTGCCTTAATGTTCTGAGGCAGGCTCTCACTAAACTGGATGCTATTTGTTTGGCAAGACTAGCTGGCCAGTGAACCCTTTGGATCTATTTGTCTCAGTCTTTTTCCCATACTGGGGTTATAGGCCTGTCTAGGTACGCCCAGCTTTTTTTTTCTTATGTGGGTGTTGGGAGATTCAAACTCATGTCCTCAGTCTTGCAGAACATGTGCTCTTACCCACTGAGCCATCTCTCAGCTCCTAGACACAGGCTACAGATGCTGGAAAAGAAACCAAGGGTGTGGGCATTGTGGGGAACCACTGGGCATTTATTGTGCAAGATGGTGGCATGACCTCAGGTGTTGGGACCGGTCAGGGTGCTTTCCTGTTTGACTAAAACTGGACTGGGATTTAAACAGAAGGCGTGTGTGGGGAGGGAGTGTTAATTTCCTTAGCAAGTGCAAAGTCCAGGGTCTGGAATCTAGATGCTCACACAGCACTATTAGAAGCTGGTCTCTCCTGGTCCCTCGGTGTGACTGATGCTCTGGGGTGGCCATGTGAAAAGGATGGCCACCTGTAGCCCTAGCTTCATTTCTATAGGTACAGCAGTAAAATAAATACCTCCTCTTTCTCAAAAGCCCCAAGGCCAACACTCATTGGATTATCCGGGTCACATTTCCATCTTAGCGTGGCTCACAGACCTGTGTGAACTGACCGTCCAAGTGTGGAAGACCAAACCCACGCCCCTCCCTGTACTGCAGTTCTGGAAGGAAAGTGTGGGGCTATTTTCTAGACGCTCTTCCCTTTTGGATACTGCACAAAAGAAACTAAAGCCACCACAGGCACAGCTTAAATGTGGGGTGCACAAGTTCCCCCCTCACTGAGGCCTTTGCTGATGGTTCTGGTATAATCTGGATTCACACTCTACCTTCCCATGTTTTCTTTACAGTAGCAGGAATCTTTTAAGGAGAGTTTGCCCCGGCCTGTGAGATGCGGAGAGGACAGTCAAAGGTTAGCCCTTCCAGACTGGGCCTCAACAGCCATCTGGGATTATCTGTCATTGTCAAGTGTTCAAAAGAGGCCAGGCAGCATCGGTCCAGCTGCTGTGCCTTAAGGGCCACCATCACACCACGTTCCTAGGAGGGTCCAGTCCCTCCCTGTCCTTGCGGGTACTTGTGTGTAATCACTGACCAGCTAGAGTCCTCTTGCACCTAACCCTGCCAGGCCACCATAGCTCCAGCTATTCACCTTGGTGTGGACTGCCTTCTCCAAAGCCTTCTTGTCTTGCAAGGGGGAGGCAGGCCATGGTGGCAGAGTATCCATAGCTGCCATGGAGGGGTTGGCTGACGCATCCTTGGCTCCTCACCAGGTCCCAATCCCGTCGATTCCCATTTTGGCTATGAGGGCCAATGGACTGTATGTGCCAACATACAAAAGCATCATGGAAGCCACCTTCCTAGCCCTTTCCTCTTCAGTGCGGGGCACCCTCCTAGGGTTCCAGAAGAAGGGCACTCCCCTCTGCTCTGCAGAGGCTATCTCCAAGGAGCAGGCCCCTTCTAGTGTCCCAAGAAGAGGAGAGCTGGGGCTGTTTGCTACTAACTCCTTCCTTAGTTGAGTCCCAGAGCCTGGTCCTTCCTAACCTTCCTGCTCTGCTCTTTCTGATCAGGACTGGCTGGGGAAATGCAGCCAGCCTGGCCCTATGTCTACCCTGAACAGAAGCACAACTGCCTTGACCCATGCCTTCTCTCTGGAACTGTCTCCAAGGTCCTCGGGCTATTTGAGAGGGGAGGCAGGTTCTGCAGCAGCCATGGCAAGCAGGCTAGAGCGGACCCGGTTCTGTGATTTCTCCAGCCAGCCTTCCTTGCTGCCTCTGAGAACTCTTCAGACACGAGTCTGCGAAGGCAGTGCTCACAGAACTACTCCCACGCCCACGCAGGCTTCTTGCTTTGCTTCCAGTGACCTTAACAGGTTGGGGCTAGAATCTGGGAACAGCATGGGACACACAGTAACACAGTCTTGTTCTGAAGTTACAGACGGGAACAGCGTTTCCGACTAGAGGCCCCGTGCGAGTTACTTCAGCTGGGGAGGTCAGGTGGCAGCTCAGCCCTACCCCTGACCCGGTCCCTCTGTGGCTCTGTGGTGCCCACTGGTGTGTCCCCTAGGTATGGGGAAGGAAAACCGGCCTTCTATCATCCCGACACCAGCCCCAGTTCTGTGCTCAGGAGAACCACAGGGAGAGCCCCAAGTCACTCTGGGTTAGCCCCCCGCTTAGATACAGACCAAGTGCAGAGGGTAAGGGGACACGCCACAGCACTGCTGAATGGTGTTATCTACTGATGCTATCCATCTACGAGCTAGCTTTTCTTATCATCAGAGTGTTTCAATAAACCAACATGTGGTACTGTTCTCCTATGTTAATTCAGATACCATTATCTGTTAAAATTAAACAGACGGCAAGCTATCTACGAATACTTTCTCTAAAGTCTGGGTCAATTAGACATGACCAGCTCTATGCCAAGGCTCTGGAGATTAAAGATAAAATGTTCACAACCAGTATTAAGACTGACACAGGTTATTAAGAACACCATTAAGGATATTTCAACAACGAAGTTAGATGTGGTAATTTTATGACAAGGAATCCTTCATGTTGCTATAAAATTATTATGCAGTATCAGAAATTACAGAATTGATTTTTGACCAAATTGCATTTGTTCTTTAAGCGGGGATCACCCTAAATAAAGCAACTGAGACTACAAAAAAAAAAAAAAAAAAAAAAAAATTTAAAATAATGGCAGTGACTCCATGCACATTAGCTTATAGCCCTTTGGCATGTTTCAGAAGGACCGGCAATCACAGAAATTCCTTTCCTTTTTAAACAGAAAGGTCAGGGCACAATGCTCACTGACACTAATTTAGGAAGGAGTGGCGCCCTCTGCTAAGGAGCACAGAGCACAGGCTGGAGCGGGCTGCTCTTGCCAGCGAACACTGCGGCTGACTGGCACTTTTGGAAAAGCAGCTGCTCTCTGAGTAAGTGGTCCTCCACTGATGTAACTGAGATGAAGTCAGAAACCCAGGTGAAGTTCACCGGAGGACATCCCTGGGACACAGCACATGACGGATGCTTGGCCAATGCGAACCGAGTAACTGCTCAGGGATGAGGGATGCAGCCCTGCCCACGGGGTCTGCCCAACTGTGCTAGCACCAGGGGCCACCCTGACCTCAGCACACACCTCACAGCTGAGGGTGGTGGTAATAACTCCAAACAATGTAGTCACCTTTAACCCTGAACCAGAATCAATTAAAGAAACACGTTGAAAGTATGGTCTCTGATGCCTTTAAAATATATAGACCAGGTTTATTATTGAAAGTGAACCGACATAGGTCATTTATCAAAATGAGATTTTTCCCAAATGATACCCTTGATAGTACTTGTTAATTCATTAAAAAGAAAAGGCCCCACCACCCTGTAGCTACTTCTTTTAGCTACTTGTTTTTGCTGAGTGTTCTCTGCTTTTCCGCGTGCTCCACAATCTTCTCTTCCACGTAGAGGCCCTTCCGCTTCCGCACGGCATTCATGTACTTCCGGGCCTGGTTCTCGGAATCTGCCTTCTCCCCAAAGTGCAGGTACTCCTCCTCAGTGGTGGGCACCCAGAAGGGGTCACTGGGAATGACCTTGTAAGGGAAGGTGACAGGATAGGCTGGGTGAGCAGATGGCAAAGTTCATCAGTCTCTGGCTAACGAAGCAAGTTCAGCAATGGACATTCAATCTTCCTAAAATGGTAACATACAAATGTGAAGAATCACGGGAGCGGAGACAGAGTGCGGGCAGATTCAACAGACCTGTAACACCTGTCATTCTGGCTTCTCATGGAGTCATTTCATAACAAGCAAGAAAAAATGGCTTCATCTTTAATGAAAATGAGGAAGTTCTCCTAATAGGATGTATCTAAATGTCTTCATTAATTTTGCCTTTGTCTCTAATAATGATCAACTTATGTGAACACAGTCTTGATTTTGTTTTTGTAGCCTTTCATGCAGCCCATCATGGATCAGCAATCACTAAGTAGCTGAAAGTGACTTCTGATGCACCTGCCTCTACTTCCTAAGCACTGTCATTACAGATGTGTCTCATCACATCTGGTTTATGCAGTGTTGAAGACTGAACCCAGGACTTTCTGTGTAATGGGTCCTGTTTAGCTGGAAGCTCCACTAAAGACACCCGGAGGTTGGCTGTTTTTTTCCCTAGAGGCTCCGAGGGCTGCTGTCTGTATGCACCGACTTCTTCCCTTGGGGACTCCTTTAGGGTCTTGGCTGCACGATCCTCTACTGTGTACTGAGTGTGACCTGCACAGGGCCTCTGCCCTTTACCTTCACCTCTCTCACACCTGTGTGGACGTCCTGAAGCTACCAGCATCAACATGTCAAAACAAAACAAAACAAAACAAAAAACTCCAACACAGGAGAGCTGTCCAGTTTGGAACTACAGAAAGGTCTCTCTAGACCACAGAGCAGGGCTTGTCATCAGAATGGAGGGAAGGGTGCTTCTTCCTCACTGGCTCACCGAGAACCTGACTGCCCAGAGCTCAATCCTCAGATCAATTTTTCCAACTCAACAGTTAGAAGTGTACGTCACCTTCTAACAGGAAGGCACCCAAATGAGAGCCGTGGTCCAGTCAACACACAGATACAGACATATAAGTGTGCACACACACACACACACATGCATGGGAACACACACACACAAGCATACACACATGTGCACACGACACACACACTCATGCAGATATGCGTATATACACACACATGCATACAAACATGTACACATTCACACCCCCCCCCACTAGTGAGGAAAGCTTTAGGAGCTCCATTTCATTTGGGTCAGGCAGGTGGGAATCACCACACACAACATAACCTCTTGGGAGCTCTTCTGGTCCCGCCTTCCTCACCAGCCTCCCACAGGGTCACCTCAGGACCAAGCGGTGGATCTGGGGTTAGGCTGCCACGCATGTGCAGCACCTGCTGAGAACACTTTCTCTTGTGTGTGTCATTAGCTCCTCTTCTTCCCCCTTTCATGGAAGGCTAAAACTTAGAAAGAAATTATGAGATTGCTGACTTCAAAGGTTTCCTCGTGGAAAATGCCTGTAATTTTATTTTCTCTATTTTCTGAAGCACTTTCTCTCAAAAGCTCTTGATTGTAAATTACATGGTATGCCAGAACACAAATGAAAAAAATCCTTGGAGTGAGAAGGCAGATCTCAACAACCATGCTATTTCTAAACCTACATGAGTGTGTGTGTGTGTGTGTGTGTGTGTGTGTGTGTGTGTATGGGGGGGGGTACTAGATCAGCGGCATTCAACTACAATGCCGTTTTAGACTTTCAAAGATTTGAACCTTTGGAACTAGGACCATGGCAGGTGGCAAGAGAAGGACAGAAGGAAGGGATTACCAGGACAGACATTTTCTTCACAAAAATTTTCTCCAAAATTAATTAAGAGCCTTTTTAAAAATAACTGTCTGCAGCTGAGCCAGACACTAGTTTTTTTTAAAACATTACTAAGAGTGTAAGTTCAATTCAGACTCAAAAAAAGAAAAAATTTGGAGACACAAAGGACAATAAAACTCACCATGGCCCTTGTGTAAGGACTCACCCACTGGCAAACCTTGTTCTTATACAGTGTCCATTCCTGTTTCTGTAGTGACAGATGGGCACATGGCCACATGGATTTTGGGGGTATAAGGATACTTCTGTAAGAGCTAGACACCTCTCAAAAAATTCTATCTTAACTATTTAACTCTTTTGAAAGCAGCTACAGAAACTACCTGGGTGAGCTGGTAAGGCTATATTCTTAATAAAATTGTATTTACTCCAACAGACAATAGGCAGCAGCAGTTTGTGGACTCCTGACCTAGTTAAAGACTACATTTCCCAGCTTCCTTAGATAGGACCTTGTTTGATGTGGTCATATGGTTGGTTCTGGGTGATGGGATGTGGATGAAGTAATATGAGCAAAATCTATTGTGTACTACAGGGGGAGGAGTGGGCCCTCTTCCTCAGCCCCAGCCCTATTGGCTGGGATGCAGCTGGGGCCATCAAGGAAAGACAAGATGAGCCTGGGCTGTCACTCTGAGCCATACGCCAGCTCTGCGCTGCCTTCTCAGACTAGAAGGGGAAATACTCTTTGCCTACATGGCCGCTGTATTCTGGGACGCCTCTGTTAGAGCAGTCTTTTTTCTCCATAACATACTTGCCAATTAGGAGATGAAGGAAAACTTTGTGTGTGTGTGTGTGTGTGTGTGTGTGTGTGTGTGTGTGTGTGTGCATGGCTATGAATGGGTGCATGGAGGCCAGAGGAAGATGCCTGGTCTTTGCCAGGCTAGTGGCCAATGAGCCAGAATTTGCCCGCCGCCATCGTCGTCTTCTCCCAGGGCTGGGATCACAGGCATCTGCACCCACACCTGCTTTCCACACTGGAGCTGGGGATTTGAGTTCAAGTTCTCACGTTTGCATAGCAAGCTTTTTGACCCCCTGAGCCTCCTTCCCGGACCCACTCATAAAAATTTAAAGAGGCTCAATAATATCATCTTCAAAGAAAGACTCAGTCTAAATCTTTTTTTTGGGGGGGGGCAGGCCTGGTGGTGTAAACATGTAACCTTACTAACGGAGGCACAGAGGCAGGAGGATCAGGGATTCAAGACTAGCTGTGCTGCGTATCATAGCAAGTTCATGGCCATCCTGAGAAACTTCGTGTCTCCCTCCTTTCACAAGCTTTTAAAACAAAAATAGACTGTATGATGTATCACTCAACCAATGGTGAGGCCGTTATAATAGCTCTGAATGCTCTCTTTATAGACAGTCCCAGGCATTATGTACCCAACACGCTGTGTTCAGTTCAGAGACACTATAACCCAGTTTTCTGTGGCAGTGTTGACCAAGGCCGCCCTTGTGAGATGGACGACTGCCGCCTGTGACAGCAGAAGTCTGAGTTCTGAAAGCATTTAGCAAGGGCCGCACCAACGAGGCCAGTGCTGCACCTCTCCAGGTCACCGCTCAGAAGTGGAGCCATCTCACTCGGTTACGAACAACACTCAGCCGCACTGCCCTGTGTCACACGCCTGGCCAGTGGGACCCCAGGGACACCGCAGGCAGTCCCCAATCTTCAGGCACTGCCACTTTAAATCTACTTCTCCCTCTCTCTGCTTTGTGTTTTATGTAAAAACTGAGTGTCAAAACCAAAACCCAAGCTGAAAAGCCAGAATTCTGGATAACTGGGGAATGACTACCTACAAGCTCAGAGTTAATGGTGACGTAAATCTTTTAGGGCTGTTTCTACACAATGAGATACTGAGAGAAAGGCAATGAAGGAAACCATCCAAACACCAGTACTCAAAAATGCAAAAGTCCAAGAGAAACATCATAGAAAAATCATTTAAAATGCAGTCTCTACTAACTAAATAATGCAGCTAAGTTAGAACACTCAGCTTCTTTCTATTGAGCGTTAAGGATCTTACAGTTTCTAGGGGAAAGCAGACCACCCAGGGCTTTGGACTGGAAAGTGCATTCCCACCAATCCAGGTGACAGGACCGCTGAATTAAAATCCCATGTGCCCTGTCCAAAGCCAGCTTCTCCCATGTCACCAGTCTTGGCTGGCTTACTTGATCATAAATCTCAGTTTGGAAAGAATGGTTTTACTCGATTGTTTTTATTCTTCATTAATCATCTAAATTTAAGCTCACTGTTTAAAAGGTCCTAGAGAAAGAACGTCATCAGGCTAGAGAAAGTGAGAGACGAGGATGTAAAAAGGAAATCCGCTTCTGAGCAGCAGGGCCTGCTCCATGGAGCTTGAGGTGAGGTTCTGACATAAATTATCTCAGAAGTGAAGTCTTTGCACTTTGTCCAAATAAACAGCAGAATTAATATCTAAAAGTAGGCCTAGCTGACAACAGCATTGTTTTCTCCCAAGTTACAGAGAAGTGAACTGAGGTTACTTAGGTTTCCTACAAATAAGAAAACACCGCTTTTTGGAAACACCCTTTCTTCGGCTTTCATTTAAAAGACTTGTGTTTGTGACTTTAGTTTTTTCTTTTAGTTTTCCTTGGCTGGCCTATGCTCCTGATCAAGCGTTCTCTCTGCTGGTTAACTGCTAATTTTCCTGTAAGGACCTCTTCAGGAAGGCTTCCCTGACCCCTCCCACACACTCTATCACAACCCACTGCTCTTCCCGCAATGTGTCTTTAAGGGTCCCTTGTGATTACAGGACTTGCTGCTCACGTGACTCCACACACGTGGATGGGCAGGGCTGTGCCGGCCACAACATCCATCTCTTGGGGAAGCCACAGAACCCCGGTCCCCAGAGCGACAGAAGACTACAGAGACAATCTGCAGACCCCCCTTGAAAGAGTTCTCCCCTCCAAATGCTGGAAGAATCTCTCCCCACCCTCCTACCCTCTAGGGAAGAGAGTCCTTCAAGGTTCACTTTCAAAACAGCTGTCATTTTTCCTTAGCCTAATATCCATCTGCAGCAGGAGGAAAATGGATTAAATGTTCTGTCTCTCCAATTTTACATTATAAAGAGAAGGCAAATTGGTGCTATCAGCCAGCTTTCACCCGCCCCTTGCCTGGGCCACCCCTCCAGGGAAGGCCCGAGGCCAGTCCTAGGGAGGGCGGGGCTGCACCTCACCTCCCAGTGGCTGAACACCAGCTGTGGGCTAGCCAGGCCACTGGTCCTCTTCCTGATTTCATCCGCAAAGCCGAAGCTTTCCGCCACAGGCAGCACGGCCTTGATGATGAACATGTCCGTCCCTTCCTTCATTTCTTCCTGAAGCACTCGACCCTCTCGCTTTGACAACACAGCATAGACTCGGCCTGCAAAACCAAAACACCCAAGTTCATCGACTGATCACCACCTGACCCCCGGCCACAGTGATCTACACATCCAGTGAGGACACAGCTGTGGCTCAGCATGCTCTCAATAACCCTGATAGAAAAACCATGCTGGCGGTGGTGCATGCCTTTAATCCCAGCACTCGGGAGGCAGAGGCAGGCGGATCTCTGTGAGTTCGAGGCCAGCCTGGGCTACCAAGTGAGTTCCAGGAAAGGCGCAAAGCTACATAGAGAAATCCTGTCTCGGGGGAAAAAAAAAGACTATTTAACTGCTAATTAAAAGGGCAAAATCAGAAAACAAATTACATATAAAAGATAACAAGAGTCCCAACTGTCCCCTAGTGACAATTCCCACAATGAAGTCTAAGGAACTCGACCTCTGGAATTACAAGCAGAGTTACTGGGTATGAAATCCAATGAGAAGAACAGTACTGGAATCTTACAATATTAAAATGCATTAGCAATTATGTGTAGTCTTAACATGATGACCGAATGGTGACAAAGACCATTTGAGTTCAGTAACCGAGGGACTAGCAATGGCATTTTTACACCAATCAAAAACCACATTCATGTAAATATTTGCTCGATAATATTGAAGTGGTGTTAAGCACGGGCATTTTGTTCTCCTGGAGATGGATCATGCTTGCAATCTTTACTATCTGGTAACAATCTCTAGTGTCATAGCAAGTCTTAGCAACTGCTCTTGCTTGACAGTTATAATTTGCTTGGAGGTGAGATTGGGCCTTACACTCAGGAGGGACACATCTGCCTCTGGGAGTGGCATCTTGCACAGATGTCTGTGGGTGCTCAGGGCATCCTTTCAACTAGTAAGCAGAACGGATTGAGAGAGACCGATCAATTAAGCTGGCGAGCATGCTCACTCAAGCCCCACCTTTCACGCGCAGTGATCTGCGCATGTGTAAGACGGCAGATGCAGCTGGCCGAGGTGAAGCCTTCCTAAACTGAGGTCTGACCTTCTCTCAGTACAGGAGATGGGACTGCCTCCTCTATTCACCCATCTGTGTTTCTTAACCCAGGACCTGAGGGCAGAGAGCAGCAGGGCCTCACACCTTCTCTGCAGATTCCCTCTGCGGCAGGTGACTAGGAAGGAGCGATGGGGACAAGGGCGGAAGTGAGGGTGAAGACAGCGCCCTTCTATTAGCTGCAGAAGGCACTCTCTCCTCTTGTCTGACGCCCCCGCCTGCGCCCATTTCTCCTCCCCCACATTTCCAAAGCAGGAGCTTCGAACTTCTTCCTCACACGCTCTTTGGCACCCAGGCTCTTTGAGCAGCGCTGGGCTCTACTAAACCGCTTCCTGGAGTTGGATGCTAATGTTTCTGCTCCTACCCAGTGTTCTTCTCAACCTTGCTCTCATGACCTCTCTGTGGCACGGGAGACCTCTGATGGGTATGCCTCTGCCAAGTCCTCCTTTCGCACCTGGCTCCTGGGCTACCATTGTTTATTTCTGTAATTCCTGAAGGTATCACTTTGCTGTGAGTATTCTGTGAAGCCTCGTTCGCTTAGAGAACCAATTCACACATTGTTTCTGTGGTAAGCTAGTCTCGGGGAGATTCCTAAGACTCTATCTATGTTGGGCCTCTCACCTGCCCCCCTCCCCCAACTTGACAATGACCACTGCACATCACGGTGGAGCCGACTTCCTTCCAAACTCAAGTCCAAGTGCAAGAGGCAAACCAAGTTCTAGGGATAGCCCAAGAGGCAAACCAAGTTCTAGGGATAGCCCCTGCCCTGTCATTATTACTGGGAATGCCAGCTACAGAATCAGGGACAGAGAGTTGGAGGGAAGGCTTGAGGGTCAGCCAACTTGACCGGATGAGTCAGGTAAATTTGGCATGTATTTCCCAAACCCTGCTTGCTCCGAGGCAGCCCTTCTATCTTTGCCAGCTAGACAAGTCTTGAGCCTAAAATCTGAAGATCTCCTCAAGTTCTTGTGCACCCTCCTAGCTTTAGCATGTGGGGCATGTGTGATCCCTCTTCTGTAAGCCAGCCTTTGAGCCACATGAAGACAGCTTTCCGGTCTAGTGCTCCATGACAGGCTGTGAATTTCCTGTGGTAGCCTTGCCGTCTCCCTACCTGAACCGATACGGCTTTTTTACCTGCCTCTCAGAATGCAGTATTGCAAGAGCAATCTGTAAATGGTGAAAAAACTAAAACTATTACTTTTATTAAACAATCTCCATTGTGCTACATGGCTTCTCTCTCTGCTAGCACAGTTCCTCTCTTACACACACACACACACACACACACACACACACACCTTAAGAAAATACCCACTGTACACAAACTAGTCATCTTTGTCTTATTCTAAGAAAACCATTTTATTTGGTGTGTGTGTGTGTGTGTGTGTGTGTGTGTGTGTGTGTG